TGAATGAGATTCCTGCTATCCTTCTTCTGGAAAGACAATATGTTGATATTTACTACCATATATATGCTGATGACATAATTTCTTTCATTGCAGCTTAATTAGAACTATACGTAACACTCTACTGGACCTTGAAAAGGCTATTAAGGGCGTAGTTGTAATGGATTCTGCATTGGAGGCCCTCTCTGGCAGCTTACTTATTGGAAAGGTTCCAGAAATATGGGCCAAACGATCATACCCAAGTCTTAAACCCCTAGGAAGTTACATCACAGATTTTCTAGCCCGGTTGAAGTTTTTACAGGTAAACAGTTGGTTTTACACACACACACACACACACATACACACACACACACAATTTTTTTTGTATGTTTTTGGTTGATTTGGGGCAATCTTAGCAATGGGCTGTGATCGCTTGACTGTCTCTGAGTTGAATGGAATGTAATTAGTAGTTTTCATGGTAACTAACCAAATTTTAGAATATTGCAAAAGACACACATTTCAAAGTACTGAGTGAAAAATTAAAAATTTACATTCCCCAAACCCAAGTAATATGTGACATTTACATTTTTCCAGATTCTATGTTTATTGTTCTAGGAGACCACAGTTTAATGTTGTCTCATGATTTTAATACTGATAGTAAATCACAAAAAATGTGAAGCTTGGATTTATCAATAATTAGCTGTTGTCTTAAAATTGCCTCTTATCTCTTATCTCTAAAACCAGGGAAAAGATGAGTACTTGGAATCCTCTCACCCTCCTCCACTCATAAACATAAGGCAGGACACTACTTTCCCCTCTCAGTTCCACTGCTTGCTCCCATCCTATGGTTGATGTTTATGCAGGAGTATGGGGTGGGGAGAATCCCAAAAATATTTTTTAGAAATTCACATAGGTACGTGATCTTTCAGTGTTCAGTTGCCTTTTTATTAATAAAATACAAAAGCTTTGTTTCACTGCATAAGCTAATCATAAAATAGCCAGTGCTTATGAGGAGCTGGAACAACAGGCTTTCTCATCTAGCCCTTTAAATTTTTTTGTTAATCTGACAGGTCAACCATATCTTGTTGTTTCAGTTTGACTTTCTTTGATTATTAGTGAGCCTGTGCTTCTTTTGTTACATGTGTTTTCCGTTTGTATTTTCTTCTGTGAATTGCCTATTCATATCCTAGGCCCATTTTTTCTTTTGTATTATTTTTTAATTTATAGAAGCTTTTTATGTAGATTATGTGTGTAACAAAAGAAACAGTATAGAATAGAGTACTGAAAGGGTTTCCGCCATTGTCCTCTTACTCTTAGAGAAGCTGGTTTACAGTTTTTCGTCATCTTTCTTTCTCCTGGACTCTTCTTCACCTCCTAATGGTTCTTAGAGTTAACAAGTTAAGCAAATGAGTCATCTGAATTTTCTATGCTTTCCTCATTTCTCTCTCACCATTCACCCTATTTATTTCTGTCTTAGTCAGTTCAGGCTGCTATACCGAAGTAAAATAGACTGGATAACTTTCTTTTTTTTTGAGACAGAGTCTCCCTCTGTTGCCTGGGCTAGAGTGCCATGGCATCAGCCTAGCTCACAGCAACCTCAAATTCCTGGGTTCAAGCGATCTTCCTGCCTCGGCCCCCTGAGTAGCTGGGACTGTAGGCATGCACCACCACGTCTGGCTAATTTTTTCTATTTTTAGTAGAGATAGAGTCTCGCTCTTGCTCAGGCTGGTCTCGGACTCCTGACCTCACTTGATCCTCCCGCCTCAGCCTCCTGAGTGCCAGGATTGCAGGAGTGAGCCAGCGCACCCAGCCTAGACTGGATAACTTAACAGACATTTATTTCTCACAATTGTGGAGGCTGGAAGTCTAAGACCAGGGTACCAGCATGGTCAGGTTCTTGGTGAGGGCTCTCCTGGTTCACAGATGAGAGGGAGAAAAAGAGAGAGACAGAGAGAGAAATATGTCTCCTATTTCTTCTTATAAGGGCACTAATCTCATCATGAAGGCTCCACCCTAATGACCTAATTACCTCCCAAGAGTTCCATTTCCAAATAGCATCACCTTGGAGATTAGAGTTTCAACCTATGAATTTTGGAGGAAAACGTTCAGTCCATAGCATCTTCCCTTTCTCCTTCCTGTGCCTTTAAAAAAAAAAAAACTTTTCGCATACTGCCTAAGATCCCAGGATAAATCCTGTATCTAACGCTTACTGTCTTTGTGACTTTGAACAGATTAGCCATCTTTCTACACCCTAGTTTCCTTGTCTGTAAAATAGGAGGAATAATACCTACCCAACTCACTATTATTTTATAGACTACATGAGGTGATGCATGTAAAGTGCTGAGCACAGTGCCTGGCGTGTACTAAGCACTTAGTAAATGGTAGCTAATTGACCACAGACACTAATAACATTCTTGGCTAAATGAAGCCATGGTTGAGCAAGAGAGTTTTCTATATACTTGCCTTGTGTGTTCTTACAGCTTTCTTGTGCATGGTGCTTTTGCCCTTGTCAGACTCCATCTCTTTCCCTACCTCTTTTTGATCTGCTAGTTTGTACTGTTGCAACATCTCTAGCAGCAGTGTGTTCTCTTGCTCCTGGGGAGCAAAGCTGACTTCTTCCCATAGTGTACAGCTTGCTCAGAGACAGAGTTCATTTCATTGACTCGTCTGTTCATTGAATGAATATGAATTGAGACCCCATTTTGTTCAAAGTACCGTGTTGTGTGCTCTGTGATGATAAGATGATTACAACATGAGTACTGCCTTCAAGCTGCCAGTAGCCTACAAGGAAACAAGCTATGTATCCAAAGAAAATTAATACGGTATAGTAAGAGCCATAAAAGACCAACATGTAAAATGCTCTGGGAGTTCAAAGAAAGGAGAGAGTTCTTTGGGCTCCAGAAAGCAGAGTTTTTTTCAGGGATGAGGTAGCATTTGAGCTGGGTCTGAAGGATGTATGGTTTTGGATACTGCAAAGAAAGGAAAAGGACTTAGAGATAGCTCTATAGCTGTGGGATAAAGGGAATTGTATCATTTAGGATTGATTCCATTATAAGTAACAAAAATTTTGACATAAGCCAAAGGAAAGTTTGTTCACTCATGTAACTAGAAAGTCCAGGGGTTAAAGTGGCTTCAGGTAGGATTTGACCTGGGGTGCAAACATGGATACCTTGTCCTGGCTTCCTACACTTCATCTCTTGGCTCCATTTCCTTTGGGTTATCTCCATTCTCAGTTAGGTTCTTGTCTGACAATGGCAAGATAGCAACAGCAACTCTAGCTTCACACCTACACAACTTCAGATAGTTGAGAGTGAATCTTTTCCCCAAAAGTCCCAGCAAGAGTTTCTGTATCTCTTGCTTTGATTGGGTCACATGTCCATTCCTGAATCAATCGCTATGACTGGAGGTATGATTGGCCAGGCACAAATCACATGCCCACCCCAAGAGGCGAGGTGGAATTCTACCACCAGAAGTGCTTAGAGTGGAGGAGGGTTTGCCCTCCAGAGGGAAAGAAGGAAAGTATCATTTTAAGACAGGCAGGAAAAACGACAGATGTCCACTCGGCACAGAAGAGACCAGCAGATAGTCCTGTCTGATTAAAATGTAGGATACTCGAAGGGAAGTGAAAAAGAGATAGAGCTGAAAATACAATTTGGGGCCTGATTGTGAAATATCTTGAATAGGAGACTAAGAGGTTTAAGCATTAATTTGGTGGGTCACTGTTGAATTTGGTAGGTCCCTGAAGAATTATGCAAGATGCTAAATCTGATCCAAATTGTACACAGTGAGGTATATTCTGGCAGCATTCTTCTAGACATATTGAACTGAGAGGGAAGAAACAAGCAGACGGTACACACTGGTACAGAAAGAAGACCATGAATATCTTAACTGGAGTGGGGCAGTGGGTATAGAGAGAGGGGTTTAAGGGGTTAAATAACTGGAATCAGCATATGAGGGCTACAGTTAGACCATGTGTCAGATGTTTAAAGATAGTTGCTTTTGAGTGGGATAAGTAATATAATAAATTCCCAAATAATTTACGTGTGACTTTTTGCACATGTACAGATTTGAATCTTTCAAACTGTGTTTCATTCAGGTTAACACTCAAATTATTTTGAATTTTCCAAGAAGAATAACTAGAAAGGAAAAGAGGGAGGAGGGCCAAGCTAAGCTGTGTGTTTTGTGTCAGGAAAGAGAGTCTTGCAATGGAAAGTGTGGGCAACATAGACGAAAAACAGAACCAGGAATTGTACATCAGATTGCACTTGTATAAATTTTAAAATGGACATAATGTATTTTGATTTCCCTTTATAGGTCTGGTGTAATTCAGGGAAACCTTGTGTGTTTTGGCTCTCAGGCTTCTTTTTCACCCAAGCCTTCTTAACTGGAGCTATGCAGAACTATGCCAGAAAATATACCACCCCAATCGATTTACTAGGATATGAATTCGAGGTACAGTAACTCCTAAACTCAACAGTATATCATTCTATCAAGTCATACATTCAAGTAGAATTTCTATATTATAACCTAATATAAGCAATTTTACTTCTTTTCATTCTTTGTTCCATGAAGAAAATATATATTTGTCTTGCTATCCCTAAGATAGAACTTTTATATATTTCAATATTTGATTTAATGAATTCAATGCTGTTCTACTGTTTTAGCAAAGATTAATATGAGGTACAGAAAAACCTGATAAAATGCCTCAAAAGAACCATATTATACATTTTTACATTCTATGGCTGAAAGTATGTTGAGTTTAACAAGCTATTATATAGTAGAGTTTCCCTGAATGTGTTCTGAATATTTAGCTAATGTTTTCTTTTTTTTTTTTT